GCATAAAAAGACTCACCTGAGATTTCTCAGTTACCAGGATATCTTTCTGAAGACCTTGCATCTCACCTAGTTTTAGCCCAAAGGCTTTCTTGCATAGCTCCTTGAACAATCATATTTATGTAGTCTCTGGGTGGTTCCTCTTTAAAATCAATGTATTTTGAATCCCTGATGAGACTTAGCTTTCTAGGCAACGGGGAAAGTAGGCATCTCTCCTGACAGCTGTCTCTTGTGTGACTTTCTTCTGAGTGTCCCTTTGGTTCACTGTCCTCAGGTCTACAGGCATTGGTTCCCTTCTAACAGGAGCCGGTTTAATGTAGTTCGAGAAATATTCATTGTTCTTGTGTGCCTCACCCTGTGCCAAGGGAAAAAATAGTATAAATTACTCCAACTATAAGGTATCCTTAAATTTCAGAAAATTGTCCAAAAGCTTTTTTGTCTTATGCATTTGATATTAGATATTCCAGCAGATACTGAAACCATGATTTAATTCTGTGAGACACACTAAGAGAATCAGAACCACTGCCTCTTATCTCCACCACTGTCATTCGAGCCAATGAAGAAACACATTTTTCTACCTGCCATTTGCTGCCTCTTGTTCACATACACAAAGGTGTCTACCCCATACATATTTTCCCTCCTAAAGATATAAGTAAGGCTTAGACCCAGAGTGAAGAAACACACACTGTATTGTTCAAAGTCTTTGAGAGGCCACAACATTAAAAGTGCTTTGGAGGAGGCAGCAAAGAATATAAAACTGAAACCTGGCAACCAAGACAGAAGGGAAAATGTAAAGCATGGGGCACTTCGCCGAGCATGAGACAGGTGTGTGGGACAGGGTGCCCAGTTATAATCCACAGAATCTATGCCAGGTAGTTTAGCAAAAAGGGGGTTTATTAAAAAATATGTTAAGATGTTCAAGAGGGCCAGAAAATACGCCTGGGTGCCTATCCAACCAGGAACACCATCCAAACCTTATGACAGGCCTGTTGTCCCAATGGTCTGTTGCAGCCTCTGATCATTGATCCATCAGTGGCGTAGGCTGTAAACCCAGACCACAGCCTCCACTGTTGATGTCGGGCCCTGAATGCTGCTCTGTGTCCCTGCAGACCTGAGGCCAGCTGCTTCGGCTGTCACCCTTCCAGAAAGGGGATTCCATTATGGTGCCTGCTTAATTAGAGGTGCTCTGGTAACAGGTGATATGGTAACAGGTACCCTCCCACTTCCACCTGTTGGCCCTTTATTCTGACTTTGGGAGAAAGCACTATCTATTGGTCACTGGCTCATAGCACACCTAGCATCCTGCAGGGAGGCATCTCACCCTCTCAAGGAATTTTCTCTAGGCTGGACCAATAATGGAGTGTCCAATGGGCTGAAGACCATGAACAAGGGCTTCTGTTCCAGGTGATGGGGTACATGGTAAGCCTAGAAATCACGTGAGCATAGGCCTCACTCACATCACTGTAGGTGAACTCTGGTGAGGCGGACTGTTGCGTGGAAATTTAATGATAGTAATAAGGCAATTGGGTAAGTCCATGAAAGGTGCTGTTGGCCTGGAGAATCCCAAACCAGAAAGAGTCAGTTTTCCAGTGAGGACAAATCATTGCTCTCTCCACAGGGGAAGGGTCTCCACTGTAATCCCCCTCCTGGATGCAGTATTATAACAAGTCTCAGAGTTAGTTACTGCTGCTGAAAGTTAACCAGCCTTGGTGAGGAGAAGTCCTTACTGGGCCAATGTCTTATCTCTGTTCCTGAAGCCATGGTCACTTTGTTCATGAGGCCACTGAGCGAGGGGGGCTGGGGAAAGGGAAGACACAGGGAAGGTAGTCTTCACCTACATGCTGAGATCCCCTCCACTGTGGGAACCCTTGATGATTATAGTGGGACACAGATATCCTTCCATGCTGGGGCCTGTTCTGAGATGTCCACCCACATTCCTCTTCCTCGGACATCCTTTCATGTTGCTGACCATCCTTTCAAACTGGTAGACAGTGCCCACAACATGGTGAGCATCCGCCTCTCAGGCCTTTTTTCCTTCAGGCAAAGTGTACAGTGTAGACCACTCTCAGTTCTGCTCCCCTGGGAGATTACATTTCCCCATGGCCCTCGGGCCCAGTGGGCTAGAAATGCCTCTGTCAAATTCCAGCCAAACTTGCAGAGCTACCTGTAAATCAGGTCTGACTTTTTTCCTCCTTGGCAAACTGCTCACTGGGAATTCCCCTTGGGACAATGGTCACGCAGGAGGGTAGCACTGAGGCAGGCAGGAGGCACCTCGCAGGATACGGTGCTGACTGCTCCAGCGTCTCATCAGGACCCTCGGGCACATGGGGCTCAGGGCTGACATAGTCCACTTCCACCTGAAGAGGCCGTGCTGCAGGGCTGGGCCCGCTGAACTTGCAGCTTGGTGGATCAAATCACTCCCAGTTCAAGATGGGCAGTTTAGGTCACATGGTCACCTAGTGTCCTGTGGCCAAGCCCTGAGTAGCAAGCCCCAGGAGGAGGTCAAGAGTCATTGCCAATAGAATAATTACTTGCATGAGAGAGCTTGGCTTTGCTCCAAAAGCTAAGAGGCTGCAGCTGGACTTCCTCTATTAGGCCTTGCTGCAGGCTCCACACAGCATCCACCGTCAGCCACAGGCACTCTGAGCACCATTACATCTCCTGGGTCATAAGGGCGGAAATGCAGAGCTGCTTACAATGGGGCTGGACCAGCAGGAGAGCCCTCTCTCGCCCAGGCCTCCATTAAAAGTAGTAGAGTTGGAACAGCAAACGCAAAGGTGACATAGGTTGATTTTCAAATACCAAAGAGTTCCATCAAGCATCTGTGCCTCTTTCTTCTTGGTGGCACCAAGAGCTACAGTTCCTACGAAGATATAGTATTTATTTTTTTCCTGTGTGGCTATTTTGGTTGCAAGGGGAGCCTAAGGAGGATGTGACCTTGCCCCTCCAATCATAGGCACCCCTTACTCCATGGGTCGGAAGCCATTGTGGGGATTCTGCAATTGCTGAAGCCTAAGGGGAGCTGTTTCTCTTAGACTCAGGAACTGGGGAGATTACCACATAATTTCTCACTGAGCAAATGGAAGCAGTCAGGTGAGAACTTGCACAGTCCACCTCCACTGCATCTGCCCTCCTTCCAGCATCCGCTCCACTTACGGTCTGTTCTCCTACAATGCGTGGTTCTGTAATGGGCATTAACTCAAATATTATGGCTCAGTAGGGGGATGATGTCACTATAATGTGGAAATTGGGTGGGTTCATAAGTGATTCCCCCCCCAGCACATTAATATTTTGTGCCACCAGATATGAGCAGCTGAATGTGAAGGACACCAGTGGGACGATCTAAATGAGCAAGCTGCAGGAGTGAGGTACTTCACACGATGCCCATTCGGGGCACCTCGCTCTCCTTGCGTCGGGGGGCCACAGGTTCTGCCTTGGAAGTGCTGCTGATACAACTCAGCTTCTACCCTTCCTTCTATCAAATTCTATCAAGCTGCCTTTGCCCTTTTCTTGGAAAGGTGAAATTCTTTATTTACTGATGTATTTATTAGAAATATGTTTCTAAATAAGTGTTTTTTAAAAACTATGTTAGTGTTCTTGTGCAGGCTTCAAAGTTAGAAAAGTTTGGAAGGTCGGCCCCAACCTGATTTTTTCCATAAATTGTTATTTTCAGTGCATGGATTTGAGAATGAAAGGATTTTCAGGAGCGCATTTATCATGGTATTGCAGAAACGCCTGTGTGCTGCCTTCCCACTCGTAACCATGGAGAAATTATTCATGCTCTTATTGAAACCTAATTCCTCCACGTGTTGGCTGTGTTCATCCCCTTATTGAAGGAGACTTCCCAGCACTGAGCCTCTTTTTCCCACGCCACCAGGTTTTCATCTTTCCCAGGACATTCTGGTCAGATTAAAAAAGCATCCTCTTGATTCCACATCCCTACCAACTACTTCCTCCATTCTTTGCGCCCTTTTCAGCAAAACTAGTTGTCTATCTGCCTCCAGCTCTTTCCCTGTTTTCCCTTCCGCCTGATCCAGCCTAGTGTTGTTCCTTCTGCACTCCAAGCTCACAATGACCTTCTCATTGCTAAAGGGAATGGTCAATTTCCAGTCCTTGTGTGACCTGGCCGGTTAGCATTTCGTAGTTCACTCTCTCATACCCTTTGCTCATTTGCCTTCCAGGCAGCCGTTCTTGTTTTCTCCTGCCTCACCCGTTCTGGTGTCTCTTGCAGATTCCTCCTCTTCTCCCTACCTCTTAGTGTTGCAGACACCAAGGGCTCAGCCCTGCTCCCCCTTCTTTCTCTCCCACACACAGTCCTTTGGTGATCCTGTCCAGTTTCATGGTACCTATGTGCTGAAAATCCCCAAATTTGTATCTCCAGAGCAGACCTTTCTCTTAAATTGCATCCTCATATATTCAATTGCCTACTCGACATCTCCACTTGGTATGACACACACCCCAAAACAGCAAGTCTAAAACTGAACTTCTGACATTTCCCACGCAACCTTTCCCTCTCGTTTGGTAGAAACTCCATTGTTTCTGGTGTTTGGCCAAAACTTGCAGTCCATTCCTGCATCACACCATATGGACATCAGACACATCGGCGGATCCTGCTGGTTCTACCTTGAAAACACATCCAGGATCCAGCTGCCTCTTACATCTTTGTTGCTACCACACTGGGGCAAGCTGCCGTTCTCTCCTGTCTGGATACTGCAAAGAACTCCCAGCTGGTCTCTCTCCTTCCACTCTTGCCCCTCTAGTCGATCACAATGCAGCAGTCACAGTGATCCTGTAAAATGCATGTTAGACGGCTCCCTGTGCAATACTCTCCAGTGGCTTTGAGTCAAGGTCAAAATAACAGTCTTCGAGGCCTCACACAACCTACCCTGCCGCCCCCCTGCCACCCACTCACGTAGTCTGTACGCTCTCACTTTCCTGCTCACTACTCCAGCTACGTTTGTCTCTCTGCCGTTTCTTTTCAAGTAGTGAACACAAGGAATGCATTTAATTTAAACAAAATGAGGTAACAATTTATTAGTGCTTTTAGAAAAAAAGCAAAAGAACATTGGCTTAACTCAGATCATTATTCCCATTGATGTTTTACATAATACGAGACATACAACATATAAAATGTACTGTACATAAAATTTTCATTCTAATGAAGAAAAAAGTTCTAGGTTCAAAAATCAAGTTAGATATCAAAAGATTAACATAAAAGCTTCCCGATTCAAAAGAATCTGATAGTTAAAATATTATCAACCTTGTGATGATTTTGATACTCTGTGAACCTCTGAAAACTTTTCCTATTCTCATAGAATATAAAGTTTAAGAGTACTTCAGTTTAAGTACTTATTAATTGTTCCTTGTCAGAAACAGTAATCCCTTTAGAGCCTAAAGCAGACATTCTTACTAAAAACTCGAGTCCAGCAGCCTCGCCTTCCATCTGTCTACTTGGGACTCTGTGGCACTGTTAGGATCCTGGAGGCAACCTCTCTGCAGCAGAGCTGACATGTAAGGCCTTGAACCTGCTCACAGCACCTAGCCTGCTACAGTCCAGAAGAGGACGACTTCTTATATTTGTGTATAAATGCATCTGTTTTCCCAAGGCTAACTTTGTAGCATTCTACTGGCACCAAAGAGCCAAATAGTGGCATTCTGTGTAAGCATTCCCGGTTACTGGCTTCCAATGAAGATGACACTGTCTCTGATATGCCAGTTTTTTCTTCCGGAATCAAGCACTTTTCAACTCCAGGTTCATCCATGTGGCCGCCTTTGGAATTCAAAGGGATGCTGCTCTCTTTACAGTCTTTAAGTCGCCTACGGTGATCTTCACTGAGCAACAATACAATGGTTCCACCAACGTGAAGCACTCTGAGAAAAAATGATGATTGGTCTGAGCATTTCCTTCTTTTTAGATAACAAACAGCCCCACTTTATTTAAAATATTTGGTGTTTTTAATTTGAAATTTAATTTTGTCTATTTAAATACAGGGATTCTGATAATTAGGCAGTATCTTCCACAATGCATATTCATTATAGTCATCATGGAATCACTAGTACAAATCTGCTTTAATTATCTATTTTTACTCTACTTAAAAGGCAAGCCTCAAAGAAATTTACAATAATATTCTAATAAATGATTGTCCAAAAGGAAAGGCGAATGAAAAAATCCTACAGAATCAGCATATATTAAAGGCATCGGCCAATGGGAGAAGACAGCCACCAGGAAAGAACAAGGGCACGAACAACTGGCAACAGTTCAGACCCTGAAATATCAGCTTGTTAAGGAGAATTCATTTACTCAGCCATGTGACCAAAGCCTGTAGAGTACCTATGTGGAGAAAGTACTGAACGACATACAGTCCCGAGTCGCTAAAGAGATTAGTGAACAGGAGAGAGGCCAGTGAAGAGCGGGTCCCAAACCTACACTGTGAGCTCAAGGACAAGCAGAGTGAGCCAGGCCAAGTGATACCTAGGGGCTGGGGCAAGCAAGGGTGTTGGAGTCGGAGAAAGCATCTGAGACAGGGAGATGTGAAAAGGAGGCGGCACCGAAAGCAGTTTGACAAGAGGGTGAATCAGAGGGTGGGAGGACGGGGGAAAGAATTCTCTCTGGACATCAATGTGGACTCCAGTAGACAGCTGGACACGCAGCCTGGAGGTTGTGAGGAAGACCACGGCTCGAGGCGGAGATTCCAGAGTTCTCGAAAGTAAATGGGAGATAGAGCCACGATTGTGGATAAGATTATCTGGGGTGACAGTACACAGTGAGAAGAGAAAAGGGGTCAAGGAATAGAGATTTAAAAAGGAAGGACAGAGAAGGAGGAACCCATGAAACACAACCCTAAGGGAAAATCTAGACAAAAGTGATGTTAGGGAAGCCAAAGGAGTACAGAAAGGCAATGGTCTCAACAGTGTGAAATGCTACAGGACTAACAAGTGACTAGGGTTATAAGATGTCACCAGTGAATCTGGAGACCGCTTTCTTCCTTGGGGCAGGAGCAAATGCTGGTTCAGGAGGGGCCTGGAAGGTGAGAAGCAGAGGTGTCAAGTGTGCACTGCTCTCAAGATGTTTGGTTGTGTAGGCAAGGAAACGGTGACAGCTGGAGAACCCAAAGTTAATGGGAATCTCCCGATGTCCAGCAAAGGTGTCAGGAGCTGAAGGAGCTTTCCTTCATCAGGACAATCAGCAAATCTAGATAAGTCTGTCTCTAAAAGACACAACACTACCTCACTTCCATCCTCAAATCCTGCACTACTGCAAAGGTCTCCTGACAGGTCCTTTCCACTCCTGTCGCTCCTCCCACTCTCCTTCCCGGTTTCCACATAGAAAAAAACCTGCAGATCCCTGCTAACTCCACTCTACTGCAAATAAATTCTAAACACCTGCACAAGCTGACCTCCCTCACTGCTCCCACTCCATTGCCTGCTTGCTTCCCTCTGCTCACTGCCGTCTAAGCAACCGACCTTCCTTCAGTTGCTCAAACTCAACAAAAGTCCTCTTGTCTTAGAACATCTGACCTTGCTGTTCGGTCTGCACTTAACGCTCATTCCCTTGTGTACCCTCTCATTATTCAGGCCCCAGAGTTCAACTACCATCTCCTTGAAGAGGCCTTCCCTGCCTATCTAAGGTAGTCACTGCTTTTCTCCCAGTCACTCTCTAGCGAAATACCCTGTTTTATTTCCTTCATACTATCGATGATGACTGGAAATGACCCTGTTTGTTTATGAAAGATCTGTCTGCCCACACTGGGATGCAGAACCCTTGCGGGCAGGTACCTTGTCCTAGTCACTGCTATATCCCCAGTGCCTAGCAGTGTGTGGAATATGCAAGACCTCCAGAAGCATCCGGAAAGGGGTGCCTGAATCCGGAAAGAATGAGGTGGTGAATAGTTTGAAGATAAAAATGTGAAGTGGGCAGAGTATGGTCCCTGAAGAGGCAGGAACCGAGAGGAAAAACCCTGGCTAGAAGAGAGGAACCTCTGCTATTGAGAAAGGAGGGGTGGGATGAAGACACACGTGGCTGTATACCACAGGACAGAAACAAGAAGACACACATGTACCTCTAAACCCATCAAAGAAAATATAATTAAAATAAATGAGAGAACTTTTTACCTACCATATTAACAAAATAAAAACACTGCCAGGCCTGGCCAGGTGGCTCAGTTGCTTGGGCATCATTCCGCACACTGAAAGGTAGTGGGCTTGATTCCCAGTCAGGGTAAATACTCAGGGTGTGGGTTTGATCCCCAGTTGAGGCAATGTATGAGAGGTGACTGATCGATGTTTCTCTCTCTCCCTTCCTCTCTCTAAAATCAACAAAATCATGTCCTCAGGTGAGGATTAAAAAAGCAAATAAAAAAACACTGCCATACTCAAGATGGCAAAATTATGAGAAAATGAGTACTGCTGAGATAGAAACTGGTGTAACTTTTTTGGGACAGCAGTTTAACAATAATGTATTAAAAATATAAAGTGTTTATAACCTTTGACGCAGCAATCTCACTTCTAGGAAATTATCCTAGGAAGGTCTAACAGAAGTAGAGTAGAATAATAGCAGCAAAAACTGTGATGCCAGGTACTGTTTTAAATACTTTATATTACACATCATTTAATCTGGAGAATTACCCTTTCAAGTATGTCCTGCTAGCATCACCGTTTTGCAGGGGAAGAAGCCAAGGCATTCTGGTTTTAAGTAACTTGGTCACACAGTAAGTTTTAAAATGGTACAAGAATGTTCAGAGCACTGTTCTTTATTAAAACGAAAAACTGGGAATTATCTAAATGTACATCCATAGGTATGGGTTACATAATGGTATATACATATAAGGTGATCCTATGGCAATCACGGACAATTATAATATACACTACAGCGAGATTTATCAAAAAGGAGATTCATGATAAATTCCTGAGTGAAAAAAGGCAGGTTACGGTGCAGAAAATTGAGGATGCTCTTATTTCTTTCTTTCTTATTATAAACAAGTTTACTGACCTCTTGTATTTTTTCTCATTTTTACTCACACAATTCCCTCTCCCTTCCATTTTCAATCTAGAGCCTTAAGCTATTTGTAAACCACTGGGAGAAAAGTTATGTGTACTTAAATATATTTACATCCCTTCCTATTTTCCAAAAGGATTTGAAGTGGTTTACATTAAAAAAAAGTCAGGTAAGAGCTAAAAGTTACTGAGTACTTTCTAGGTGCCTAGCACTGTTCTAAGAGATTTAATCCACTGAATCCTCAGAACAATGCTATAAGTAAGTACAATTATTTAAAGATGAGGCACAAAGTGGCTGAGCAATGTGCCTGTGACTGAAGAACTACTAGTAATAGAGCCAAGATTAGAACCCAGGTATCCGGCTTCAGAGCCTGGACTTTTCACCACTACACCATGCTATAGTGCTATACAGAACCCCAACCATAAAAAGTCAAGTCAAACCGTAAAGGCTGAGGGCAGGGGCAAGGACGCTTGATCACACAAGTTCCTCATGTCCAGTCCATACACTTGCAACTGATCCTATACCAAGGCATTCAGATTACGTGGGAAATCTTAACTATCTTCCTGATTCTTAGATAAATATTTAAATTTACTGCCACAATATAAGGGCAGACTATTATTGTCTCATTTTCAATTACCAGCCTAGTAACTGTCAGGCTGATATAATTTACTAGTGCTGAAAGGACTATCTATCTGCTTAAGATATTGCCCTGCACTGACTTGTGGAGATGTCTAAAATATGCAGCATCCAATTGTCAGTTAGGTTAAGCCATTATTTCTGGAAAGTTCCAGATTAAATGTAAGTCACTGCTTACACATATTAGTATCTCACCACGAGTTGGCTTATGAGTATAGCTGATGAATTACTTAGTTAGGCACAAAGGCTGCAGTTATGAACCCTGGTTGCACAACAGAATCGCCTTGGGAGTGGTTAAGGAATACTGACAATTAAGTCAGAGCCTTGGTGGGGAGAGGTGGAGAATGGGCACAATATTTTCCAAAAGCTCCTGAAATTATTTCACTATGAAGTCAGGGTTGTACTATCTGCTCGAGGGGAATGTGAAATTTAATCTTGAGAAAGTGAATCTTTCTGGGTACCAGTTTCCCATCTCTGAAGTGTGGGGGATTCACACATGGGATGCAGGATTTTTGTGATGATCAGAAGTACATATGTAAATCACCTAGCTCAGTGACTGACATGTAGGTCACTATTTCAGATACTCAAATTTCAGACAATAATGAAAAATTAACACTTTTTTATGAATGAAACAGTGTAAGATGATATGGAATAACTATTTCAATTATAAACTTCTGATTTAAAACCTTAGAAAATTAAGTTACAAAAACTCTAGGAAATTACTAAAATGCAATCAAGTCTTAACTGAAGAGTTATAATATATTTTGGTGAAATGTCCAATAGCTCAAAATTATGGAAATAAATTCGACACCTTACCTCTCCATTTCTTGTAGAATGCTTTTGATGTCTTTTCCTAACTTAAACTTTTTCCCAAATGGAATGTCAGAAATAATAACATCGACACTTTCTGAGGGCAATGGCAATTCTGAAATACAGAAACCAGAGAATCCTATCCGATAAGTTCAAGTATTTACAACCTAAATGTGTGGAAATTAAAGTACACAGAATTATTTTTGCATATTAAATAAAATTTAGGGTTGCTAATATTATTTCTAAGAAATTACAAGTTTCTAAAAGGCTTTCAGAATCACTAAGATAAATGGTATAGTAATTATATTCCATTCTTTGAAAACTGGTTTTGCAGGCATGATAAAATATGACATAAGTTAAGCAGAATTTTAAATTAACCAGAAAATTCAATTCTCTAAACATATTACATGACTAGAAAATTGCCAGATCCAAGAAGAAATCCATTAAGTTGTCTAGAAAAACCTTCTACAAAATTATATTCTATAACTTTCATTTCCCTTTTCATAGTTAAATATAAAATTTTACATGTGTAGATCTATTTATTTTTAAGGGAGATGATCCATAGCTTTCACTGAATTTTTAAAGGGGACCCAAAATGTTAAGAACATCTACTTAATCCCAAGCCTAGAGAAGAGGTTATATAATCAATAATCAACAAGATGAATACACGAAATAAAATTAAACAAGTGTTTGATTAAGAAATCTAAATTTCTTTCTCATCTTTACATTTCACCTCAGAAATTAGATTATCACAAGGTAATACACCCAATCTTAACTTCCACTTTTTCCGAGTATAGTTTTCACTTTCTATTATTTTACTTCCCACCCATTCTTATGTACATAAGAAAACATGTAACTGAAAATGAGCAGGTTTTCCATAGAAGACTGAAGACTGTTTCCCTGTCTGAAGCTGAAATACCGAAGATGCCTCCCTGGAGCAGAGCAGAGCATCGCGGAGTGGACCATCGAGGATGGAGCTGCCTAGCTGAAGGGGGCCTGGCCTAGGGGCAGCCTCACAGCCATACTGTTTCCACAGTGGTCCCCGTAGCACTATCCAGCTGTTCCACTGCAGTGCTGTTTCCACAGCAGCCCCCGTAGCACTATCCAGCTGTTCCATAGCCATGCTGCTTTTACCATGGAGTTGTTTGAACTAAACTTTACTCCTTCACTGTACCCCAAATTGGGGATTCCCACTGGCATTTGAATCAGCACCAACGACCTTTGGTTGACATTCCATAGTGCCCAACATGGGGCTCTGAAGCGACGACCAATCTCCTGACACTGTCCTGAAACCAACTCGTCAGGTGCCTGAACAACCCCTGTGTTGTCTTCCTGAAGGCACCTAAGGATCTCAGGAACTGTGCAATGTGACTAACTGAATGGAACTTGAGAATAATTCAATCTTTACAACACCCTGTTCATTGGGTATTATGATTATTATCCCTAAAGTTCAGAGAGGTTAAATGTCACTTGTAAGGTCAGACAGCCTTTGAACAAGAAAGCCTGGAGTGAAGGTCAAATTATCTGATGCTGGTCTGTTCTAGCTGGTAATGTGACCCAAGGCCAACAGGGTGGTGGGTCTTGCTGGGATGCAGTTTCTCAATGCTCCAGCGGGATCCCTGGCACAGATGTTCAGGCCATCAGAAGCATCCTGGCCACATGAGATGGGGAATCCATCACTACCTGTCATAACCATACCCTACCTGCCACAATTCTGACTCACACACTCAGTATTCCCGTAAGGGTAGAAAGCCGTTAATTCTGCCCTTGAGAGTTTCACATTCTAGACTCTTATCCTTTCATTGACCCTCCACCCAAGACTGAAGGCTTCTAAACAACTATCATTTCAATAGCTCCCTCCTGCCTTTGCACTTACAAATAGTGAAGGCTTGTATGAGGCTGAAAAACGGGCTTATCCAGAGGTATAAAGATATTTCTTTAAATAAGCTCATTTCCCTAAATGTTCACATTTTTAATATCTTACCTATAACAGAGACTTTAAGTAACTCAATTTTATCCATGAGGCCTGCAGCTTTCAGATTGTCGCATGCACCTAGTAACTGTGAGTCACTGACATCAGCACCCACATAGTACACATCCTATGAGGAAAGAAATTTGTATTTTAATTATAAATAAAACTATCACATATTTTCTGTAGTTAAGAAAACCTACTGCCATTTTCTCAGATGATGAAAATGAAATCAACAGATTTGTTAATTCAGGTTGAAACAAATTTCTAGTATTCCTTTAAAATGATATTCAATAGCAAAAATTTTTGTTCAAATCTATTAATAATATTTTACAGTTACAAATGCCTAAAGAATTTGGGGATTAGCATAATCTGTCATGACTAATTATTGGAATTACTCATATCTTGCTAAATTTATTTTACTATTCAAAAAAAAATAACAGCAATTTAAATAACCCTTCATAAGCCAGTTGACAATAGTAAGTACTGCCTCATAATTAAAACAATAATCCCCCACAGACAATCTACTTGTTAATAATTGGTAAGTGTACACACATATACCAATTAAACATATTTCTTAGTTTACCAAAGTTTAGAACTTACTGGCCATTCTTTAGCAGCTTCCAAAAGTATTGTTCCGAGTCCACACATTGGATCTAAAACAAATGCACCAGCCTACAGACAGAAATATCGATTTGGTACTATTAAGTCTATTATAATAAGTATTATAAAAGAAACCTAAAACCTGAGGAATCAGTATTTTAAGAGTAAAGATTCCTTTGTACACTTTAGGAATTTTAGGTAGTTAAAGCCCTAAGGCAAGTATACCCCTGGCATGTTTAAAGATTAGGAAGGAGGCCATATGGCCAAAGCACAGTGAGCGAGAGGGAAAATGTGTGATTGCATCAGGGAGGTAGGCGATCCCATCAAGATGGGCTGGTTTATGCTGCACCTGTAGTAACAACCTCCAGATCTCAGAGGTTTAAAACACCAGGAAACCTCATGTTACATGCCCACAGTTGGGCACCGGGGGCTTCTGCTCCTTACTCAGAAGCCAAATTGACCAAGTGGTCACCATTTGGAGCACTGCCATCTTGTGGCAGAGGGAAAAACAGCATGACAAATTGTGCATTAGATGTTCAAGTGCCATCTGCAAGTGACACACATCATGTCCCCCAACATTTAACTGGCTAAAGCATGTCAGTCACATGACACAACCAATTTCAAGGGGCCAGGGAAGTGTTATCCTACCTGCACCTGGGAAGAGAACAGGAAATTTGGAGAAAAAAACTAATCACTCCCACCCTGGGGGTCACAGGTCAGATCTGGTAGATACTGTAAGGATTCTGGTTCTATTCTGAAGGCTGGGGAACTATTGGAGGGTTCTGAGCAGAGAAGTAATATAACATTACATTTCACAGGGATCATTCTAGATGATCTGTTGAGAACAGGACAAAAGGGTAAGAGAGTTAACAGGGAGGCTATTAGGGGTTCCAGGAGATGACAGTGGCTTGAATTAAGAGTGGTATTGGTGGAAGTGGTGAGAAGTGGTCAGATTGTAGATATATTTTACAGGTGGAGCCAACAGGTTCGATTGGATGTGGAATGTTAAAAGAACGATAACAGTCTGAAACGTCAGAAGTGTTTGACCTGAGCAGGTGGAAGCGCAGAGGTGCCTGTTACTGAGATGGGAAGACTTGGGGAGGAGAAGCTTCAAAGGAGACAAGAGTATAGTTCTGGGCATGTTAATTTTGAGATACCTCCTAGACCAACTATGGAGATCAAGTGAGTCATTGGACACATGAGCCTAGAGTTCAGGGGAGAGGTTCAGGCTACAATACACATTTGGGAGCATCAGTGTTAGTCAGTTTACAGGTGGTATTTAAAGCACCAGAATTGGATGAGTCACCCAGGAAGCAAGAGAAGTTAAAAAAGAAGAAAGGCTAAGTGTTGGACCCTGGTGATCTCTTGAGTATAGATGTTTGGTGGATGAAGATTCAGCAATGAATGCTGGGAGCCGCACATGCTCATGTAGGAGAACCCAGAGTGATCTTCCAGAACCCTGAGGGTGCTGATGTGTCAAAGTGCTGGCAGGGTGAGTTGAGATAAGTGGTCTCTGGAGTGTGGGTGATGAAAGCCTGATGGAAGCGGGCACAAGAGAGAATAGGAAGAAAAGAGGGAGAAACAGCAAATATGGACAGCTAGTTTTAAGAATTTTTCTGTAAAAGGAAACAGAGAATGGGGGTGGTAGCTAAAGGAGCATGTGGGTTCAGGAGAAGGTTTTTTTTTTAAGTCGTATGACATTACAGCAAGTGTACCTGCTGATGAGGACTCAGTAGAGAGAACGTCTTTAAACAGGAATGAGGGACTGAACTCCAGTTCACAAGTAATGGAGTGGAACAAGGGCAATCCACTTAGTGGAATGGCCATAAGGCAACAAATGTGGGCACAGGCTCTGGGACACTGGCAGATTTGGTGAGGAGAACACGTCCAAGTTCTCTTCTGATTCCAGTATTTAAGTCAAATAAGAATCAAGAGAGTTAAAAGTATGGGCAAGGAAATGACTGCAATGGTAGAGCATAAAATCCAAGCTGTGAGGGGGGATGAAGACAGGTAGTAAATAACGGGCAGTAGTAGGGTCAAAGGAAAAGAAAATCACACTGGCATGACGGGAGGTCCCAAGGGGTCAAAGAACTGTTAGGGGCTGGAGGGTGTGACCAGGAAAGAGAAGGTGGTTAAGAGCAGGATTTGTGAAGCTGAGATTTTGGGGAGGCATTCCCTTCTGGATATAAGGTCTAGGACGTGACTAAGGCAGATCATTAGAGGTAAGGAAGCCAGGACCTTGAAGGGCCAGGTTACAGAGTGGATATTGAGATCATAGAGAATTGTAACAGGAATAAGGGCCTCTACTCCTACAGGAATGTTAGGAAGAGATCTGGATATGACTGTGGTCATCTGATGGCACATGCTTCAAAGGCACTGAGAGGTTTTGGGCACAAGGAACAAGCAGGACATCTACCCCACCTCCAGGCCCAGTGGTCCCTTGACATGTCTACAGAGGAAGCAGAGTGCTCAGTGAACAGCCAGGTTTCAGTCAGAGCCCGAGGGTACCTAATGCAAAGCAACAAAATGTCCTGAGAGAGAGAGAATGGGAGAGAGAAACTCTCAGAAACAGGAAAAAAAGTAGTTTAAGGTTAAAGTCACTAACGCAAAGCAGTTGAAGTAATAATAGTTAAATAATGAGAAGAAGTGCCTGAGCCAGAGAAATAAAAATACAAAAATTTATAATCACTAGATATGCCAAATAAGTATTATACCTGTAATGATTACTATAGCAGCAGCTAATATTCATACACTTTCTACTCACTTGATAAATGCTAATTCATTTGATTCTCACATGACCTTATGAGATTATTCTTTTCATCCTGCAAGGAGAAACTGAGGCACAAAGGTGTTAAGTATCTTCCCAAAGTCTCCCAGCCAGTAAGTGGTGGAGACAGAATTAGATCCCGGGCAGTCAGACTCACCGAGTTATGGGCTGAATAGAAAAGACACTCACAGAAGCTATATCCTGGTAATATTCCTGAACTTTATAGGACTAAAGGGAAAAATCTTACAAGTTCTGAGCAGAAAGAACAAGGTAGCTATAAAGGAAAAGAGAATCATACTGGCACGGAAAACTCAGCTACAACACCGGAAGCTACGACAACGGGACAGCACCTATTGCCATCTGAGAGAAAAGGACTGCAACCCAAGCCAAGGTGGGCACTCCCAGGATGAAAGGAAGAGATCTGAGATATATGGAAATTCAGATAGTATAGTATTCAAATGCCACATGTGAGGAAACACCTAAGACAAGACCTTAACCGGTGCAGAAGCCTCAAATGGGGAAAGACAATGTGAAGACCCATGGTGAGGAATGATACACCTTGCAATTATCTTCATGCATTTGCACAGAAATGTGTTTGTTACACACAATTCTATGGTTATGATTAAGGACAGGCTGAATATCAGTGCTAAATAAGAACTTTTGAAACAGAACGATATACTTTAGGGGAAATCTGATACATGATAAATAATTTAGTTCGATCTAGTAGTTGAGAGTTGGGAGTGAAAGGAAATGAAATTTTCAAAGGTCTCACTATAGGGAGGAGTAAAGGTGGGACAAGGAGAGAAAACAGTAGTCTAGAGGTCTCGTCTCATAGCAGGGAAGAGGGGGAAGAGTAGAACGTCTTGGTGATAAAAACTGTCTTGACAGAGGAAGGAGTAGATATCTTGCTTTAAAATAATAGCAGAGACCTATGTGTTTAATTAGGAGAGCTGGGAAAGGGAACCATTCATGGACTAGAACAATACAGTAAAATCTCCAGCCTCAGGGAGAATGACATGATTATGAAGTGACTTGACCACACTAGCAAAAATAAAAAGTAAACTGTAAGATGTTTTAACCAGAGTAAAACAGGAGGAATACAGGCAGGTATGTCTGTCATAATACAGAATTCTCTCATCGAAAGCCAGAGACCACCAGAGTGGGATACAAACAGCTGTATGGTTGTAAAAAATACACTGAAAACAAAGTTGAAAAAAGGAGGGTCAAAGAAATATTAGGCAGAGGCAAAAAAAAAAAAAAGGAAATATTAATAATACATGGTGAAATGTAGGTTTTAACTCACTACTCAGGATAAAGGGAACTTAGGTAACAATAAAAAGGCATAACTCATGATGAAGCAATAGCAGATGTGTGTTTATATACCAAATTACATAGCAGCTGAATAAGGCAATTACCTAATAAAAATGAAAAAACTTATAAGAATATCAATGCTGTTTCAAATACCTCAGAGAGTAAAGTAGTGAGCAAAGGTAGTGAGGACACTGACTACAAAATAAATTTTTTTGGTATGTCCATGAAACATTTACAAAATTGATCAGGATCTTGGTCATGGAAAAAAACTTACTTCCTAAGTGTAATAGCAACAATATAAAAACCAGCCAAAGGAAATGATAAAAGAAAGAGAGGAAAAAAAAAGCAAGAGAGCAACTAAGATGCCCGCAAGTAAGAGACTGTGTAAGTCCACTACGGAAAGGACCTCGCTATTTATTAACACGAATGAAAACCTTTCCTTACCTTAATTTCAGCGACAGAGGCCATCGCCCATGCTATGGTGGACCTCAGTCCTGCCACCCTGAGGTAAGATCTGCTGGCTAAAGGAACCCTACAAGAAAAAAGAACCTGATGCTAGATCCAATATTACTGTAGGTTAAAGAAGAGCCTGATATAAGTAAAAATGATTAACCTACCCATATCTGTGAATCATCATGTTCATGCAACACACACTAAAGTAGTCCCTACGTTGGGAGTATTTAAATTTAACCTTATTACAAAAATAGCTTATCTAGTTGGCACCTTATTTAACCAGCTACTGTGGTACTTCAGAAAGGTAAATTTTTAAATACTGGAAATTTAAACCCTTTTGTGTTTAATTTATAAATATTTAATCACATATAAGGGAAATTTTTGGAGAGTGTTTCACTACTTCCCTGTTTTCCCATATGGAAGAGACCTTTTGTTTGCTGACCTGGAATCATCAAGAGCATGCTGTTTTGTGATGGAGATGTGGTATGGGAAGGACTGAATGGATACTGACCCTTGAAATAGGTTTTCCATAAAAAGTCCCTTTCCTAAGTTTGCTTTGTGCTCATTTGCATCTCTCTTAAAAGATGAAATGAAGCATGACACTGCACTGTCTGCGTGACAGACATCTCCCACACCTCACCAATGCTATCATCAGTGTTTCCGGATTTGATAGTAATTTTCAAAATACTGTTTCAAAGTGTTTAATGCAATGAACAAGCATTTCCTTAGAAATTTCAATGCACTTTTCTATTTCATTTATATAATTTGTTGGTAAGAAACGAAGATACAATTTCAAGAATTAGTGCTTGCTTGTTTTGAGGGTAGGCTTGTTCCAGAATCATAAAGAAGGCTCTTCTCTGGACATTATACAAAGCCATAGTGATCTCCAAACCCTATGTCTTTCTGATCTGTCTTTGTCTTTAAGCTACCCTGTTTTGAGTGTATTGATTGTAAGCCTCTTAAAATCTTATAAATAAAGCAGTATAATTGTATATTTATTGTCACAATGAGAAAGCTCTGCATGGTAAACCCATGGGAGTTTGGTTTTTTAAGGTTTTTCAGAAAGTAATTCGCACTGCAGACAGAACTGCTGCTTCATATTCCCACTGCCTTCAGAGTAAAATCCAAGCTGTTCAGTGCTGCTTACAAGACACTTCATGACTATCTCTAACTGCTCAGTCTCTTCCTACCATTCTCCTATGTACTCCCTGGCCCATTCATACTGAAACCACTGGCTGTCCCCACATAAGTCAAGCTTTCCCATACTTCCATGCCTTTGCACATGCAAGTCCTTGCTTGTACGGTCCTTTCCTTCTCTTGTCCACTTGGGAACCCTTCCTTAGTGTTCTCCACTTACGTGACACTCCTGCATTCTCCATTTAATTGATTCTCTTTTATGTTCTTTGCTCACCATAGTCTATCAGAGTTAGGTCCCCTTTTCTAACTCTAGTCAAGCCGTTACCACCTATCTGCTCTACCACTAAACTGAATTCCTTGAACTTAATAACCATCTACCTCATCTTTGAATGTTGAGATCTAGCACAACGCTTAGCATATAATAAGTATTCATTAGACATTTCAACTGAAAGTAACTGAATAAATTAATCTTACTTTAATAAATGTTTCTCCCTTCCCTCCCTAGTTGCTGTTTCAGAAATAAAGCAGATGAAATTTATTCAACACTTACTGTAGCCTAGAAATAGGACCAAGCATTTTCATGTAGGTTATCTCATTTAATCCCACCACAAAGCAATGAAGTAGGTACTATTATTTTCCTGATTTGACAGTGGAGGAATATGAAAATCTGCCCAAACTTACAGTTAATCTGTTGAGAAGGCAGAACTGAACTCCATGGTTCTTATCCACCATGCTACATGTGCACAGTGTGGCACAGCTGTACACAGTTAATATTCAGGGTGAATTTTAAGAACTGTGCTGTATTTTCTATTTTAATTAAAATTCCAAGATGCGAACAGACCAAAATTTTAGCTTAAATATAGGCCTGTGAAAATCTTTTAATAATAGAAATAATTAGATATAATTTTCAGTCTGAATCATGTAATCAGTGGATTATTGTAATGAAATCTTTCATAGCTCTAACTGGTCAGAGCAAATCATATCTACTAAGCTCCACGGAAACCGCCACTGGCTAAGGTAAAGAACTCGAGTGCTTTGCCTTTAGCTCCCCCGGCTGTATCAATGCTTCATACTATAAATGAAAAGCACAAAGTTCTTAATTTTACAAGCTCTCCTAAAGGGACAAACCTGAAGCTTGGAACATGATATCTACCTGAACACAGGAATTCCCATAACAGAGTAAATGTCATTCAGGTGTATAAAGATCTGAAAGAAGAAATACGAAGTTAGGATGGAACAGGAAATGCATTACCAAATTACTGATAATTTGAAAACTTCCATTTTGAACCTATATAACCTATATTTTTAATATGAAATTCCAAGGCCTTATTTGTCATATATGGGAAAAGGTTCCACACTATTTCTCTTGAGCAGAGGTGAAGTAAATTTTAAGTACATTTCATAGAAAGATTTTGAGGTTAATCTGGTATAAAAGTGATGTGGAGAATCATGTTATGAAGAACTCAGGATCTACTTTCTTCCCAAAGAGTCTCTGAATCACCATAACTGAATCAGACTTTTTGGCATTTGAGGTTAGAGAAGAGTTCCTAAATCCACCCTAATTCTAACCTCAGAGTTGAGGCCACACAGGATGATCACAGGCTACATAGGCTTAATGTAACAGAGAACTTCCTTCAGGTCAAATATATTGTAACAAGGGTGACCTTTTCTCTGTCTGCTATCTGTAGGTGAGCTTCTTCCTCTCCACCCCCTTTCTCCTGTTAGGTCATAGAGGATTTAAATGTCTCAGTTATAATTAGTAGCCCAAATAAATTTTAAAAGTTAGAATCTTACTTTTGTAGTCTGATGAAGTTTATGGAATATTCTAATTCTGTTTGACTTTAAGAGCATTTGAACCCCAATACATTCACCCCAAGGTTATTTTTAATATATGCAATTTAATCAGGATTATTCCAATATTGATAAATTTTCATCAAGAAAAAATGATCTGGAATGAATTCTCTTTAGTCAATTTAATTCCTTGATCATCACAGCTAAAATTTCCAATTTTTTTATATTATTCAACTTTAGTGAAATTATTTATTGGGATTAATTCTCTTCTACTTAAAACTTATACTAAAAATATGATACATTGATATTTTTATATATCAAATGTTATTAAGAATAGCTTCTCCCTCTGAAATTTCTTCTATTAATTTTGCAGAACAAAATCTGTTAAGATTTGATTCTTCTGCCAATTTTGGTCACAAATTTTACTGTGGGTGATTTTAGTGTTGCCAATTTTGTTCCGTGTTGATTATTTCTACCAATAATAGCTAATATTAATTGCATTAAATGGCTGATAGGAATTAAATGAGCTATATTTACTTATGAGCTGAACTATGGAAAACTGTAATTCTGAGACAGGGAGACAATCAAAGGGAGATGAACAGGAGGAAACCAGAGAGCAGGAGGGGGACGTGAAAGGAAGAAACCCTTATGTCAAGACATGCTTAGGGTCAAAGTATTCTGCATGACAGGAATAAAAGATATACACCAGGCACTACTTTTCAAAAGTGGAAAATATATTAAAAAATGAAAAAATAAAATAACATAAATGTTCTGATTGGGCTAGCAATTACTCCATTTAAAGCGCTATAACAATTTACAAATTAATGAGTGATGACAATGACTACACTACCTGTCAAATTTATGAGATGATTCTCAAAAAGGCAGTGGAGAATATTTTTTATAGCTGCGTTTATTTCCCTATATGTTGTATTTTGTTCCAATTAATAACAGTGTAACTTCATGAAATTAATTTTAAAAAACAGAGAAAAAGAAAACATAATCCCACAACCCTAACAAAGTCACCACTAATGTATGATTGGATTTGGCGTAGGCCTTTCATTTCCTATTCTTTTTTTAACATTATTTTAACATTAACTAGAATTTCTTAAATAGAGACTTGTTGTGTATTACAGCGATCGTAGACAGCATCTCTGCGACCTTATACTAGACTTTTTTAGTTCAACTGTGACAAAGCAATTCCATTCCCAAAAGTTTTATGTGAATAAGACACTTTCACAGTGAAAAGGAATAGCAAAATGATCTGTGCCATTCTACTGCTAAAGAAAAAACATAAACCGCTGGTTCCAGATAGATGAGCTCTTTGAAACTCTAAAGCAAAACTGAAAAGTACAATAGATTAGCTGACATTGTCTTTAAAGAATTAGGTTATGAGCACATCTAATAAGATAAACATTCGTTACCTCTAAATTTGGATTCCTCAAATCTGCTTTCCATCCAAACTGTTTCATAAGAGCAATTCCAATGATTCTTCCTACCTCCTGGAAAAGCAGCAAGTTATAGGAAAGATAAGACTATTATAAATGAAAATTTTAAGTTTAAATATAAGTGAAAACTAACAGTCAGGGAAATCAAGTCAGACTATCCGGTAGTAATTTAAAACTACAATATGAAATCAGCGTGGCTCAGTGGTAGAGCATCGACCTATGAACCAGGAGGTCACAATTGGATTCCAGGTCAGGGACAAATGCCCGGGTTTTGGGCTTGATCCCCAGCAGGGGGCATGCAGGAGGCAGCTGATCAATGACTCTCATCATTGATGTCTCTCTCTCTCTCTCCCTTCCCCTCTCAATAAAAACATATTATAAAAAAATTTACACTATAGCATTTTCTATTGAAGGCAATAAGGCTGCATTTTACCTCTTTTGACCCCCGCCTCCCAAACACATCCTATGGCATTAACATCTACTCATGTGTAATCTCTATTCTTGTAATTTTAGGTAAATGAAATAACCAAATAATGACCTGATAAATAAAGCCTTCTGGGTTTCAGGAAATGGATGCAGCTGAAAGATTGACCATTTTACCTACTGCAAGCCTTATGTTTAAAAATGACCAGAGCAGTAGCATTAGACTTAAACTTTAGGGTTTAATTTTAAGGTTGGCCAAAGAACCCAGACCTATAGATATGCCCTTTATATCACTGAACTTTGTAAGGGTCAACTGATACGGTTTTTTGAAGGAGCCTATTTGTTGTGTTCACCCTCCCCTAGATAGTTGGGACCTTGACTGTATTTATGTCTGGGTTCTAGTGACAATCACACGTATGGGGCCTGGTGCAGAGTAATTACTCAACAAACACAGAACTGAAATGAGGCCAAAAAGCTTAGGACCATGATATCAGGATTTCCAAATGCAAAGGATACCTGTGAGTTTAAGAAAACTTTGGGGGAGAAAGTAAAAGGTCAGTACATGGCATACTATTCCCATTAAGCATCTGAGGTAAAGTTAAAATAGAAAATGCATTTTTAAGGAGATTTAATTATATGATATTAAACCTAGTTATCTGCCTGAGCCGAGTTATCTAGTCTGTGAAAGGTCGTGATCTCATTTTAAATCGAAAGGGTAGTTAATTCTTCTAGAAAATGGGAACCCACTTCGGAGGTGAGTATACCTGTGCAGAAAAGTTCTTTGCAATAGCTCCACTGCAGCGGCAAGAAACTCTGAAGGTCAAGTCGTCCTGGTTAGTATCAGCTGCTTTCGCTACATCGTTCTGAAGTTCTTGAAAATTTTTTCCTTGCTCCAGCATTTCCTCTTCTATTTGTTTTTCCAGCTGGCATTCCCTATTCTCTTGTGCCTCTTGCATTTGTTCTGCTTTTAATTTCTTAGCAATGACGGTGTCATTTTCTCCCATTTTTCTTTTTAGTGGGTTATCTCTTTGAGAATGTTCTTCCCTTTTTGTATCAAGTTCAAGAAGATTTTTCCAAATTGAAATGGCATTCAACCAACTTTCAGGATCATCATTTATAAGTCTTTGCATTTCATTAACTATTTTTCCTAAGTAAATAAAATCTGTTTATCCTATAAGGAAGCTTTAAAGACAGTCTATTATATTCATCACTCCCAAATTCCATTACCTTTATTTTTATAAAATAAGTTTTTTTGAACTACTACATGAAGAATGATTTCACTTTAATCTGGAACTCATATCATTCAATATAAGAATATTGTGCAGAATAAGGTTCATTCTTATATTCCAAATTAAACATCAAAACTATTTTAAAATTCCTGTAGAATTATCATATACTTTAGCAAGATCATTTGTTCTATGATAATATATGTATCTCTTCAATATATGCATAGACCTAGACAGTGTATCAATCTTTGAAATAATGCTGATCTTGTCTATAAAATTAAGTTGAAAAAATAGAATAAATTATAAAACTCAGAGGTGAGAAACAGAGCAGCTGAATTTTGAGACTCTTTTAGACTATATAGTATTAGCACACATCATAAAAGGAGTTTCCATAAAGTAACACCTCAGGTACACGACCCACTCATAACTTAGGGACTGCCAGCATACAAAATATAATGTCATCTTTTCTTGACATACAAAGGTCATCAAGATGACCCAAGAGTTATTACTGTATTTCTCTAATAATAAGTGTATGTAGAATATTGGAATGAAATTATATTGATCCCACAGTACAGTATCTTAGTATTTGCTTTAAAATAATTGTTTCTGCCCTGTCTTGATTTCTTGCCGTCTGTATCATTCTTGATATGACTTTAATTATAGACTATACACTTACATGATCTCTTGTGCATAATCAGCAACCAAAATGAAGTTTAAGGCAATGTTTAATCCAGCAGCGTCTGGCCTTTTTTTGTTGCTTTTATCAAGATCCTTAAATTATTTTAGCCGCATAGTTATAAAAAAAGAAAATCTCTTAAGCCCCCTTTAACTCTAATGCTTTATAAATGGCTAAAAGTTTATTCAAACATTTAAGGTCCCCCAAACAAGAAATTTTACTACATAGTATTTTTTCAATTATATTACTCATTAGTTAAAATTTACAAGGTGACAGTTTTGACCAACTTATTAAGACAATGCATTTTGGGTTATTACATGTCCTAAATCTAAATAAATGCAACTGACCATATTTAACGGTAGAGAAGGTGTCTGATCAGAATTTTCAAAGATGAAATGTGACGTAAGACACTAAAATCTCAGTAAGGCAGGCAGCAGATTGCAGAGAGTAGAGAAGCAATTAGGTGATAATACAAGGAGGTGCTAACATTTAGGAAATACAGAAAAATACATAACTAATGATCCCACAGCTAGGAATGAATCTTAAAAATGTCAAATGGCTACTTATTAATTATCAAGCAGAAAACTCTGGAGTACATATATTGTGTGGGTAAAAGCAATAGGTATATACCGTACCTTTACTTACAGAAGAAACACTGAACGGAAACTGCTTTTTAATCAGCAAAAATAATCTTTCTGCGGATTTTAATGTTTTCAGCATATTCAAGTCAGAACAGGTGGTGAAAAAGACTTTTCCCGAAACATATTCAACCTAGAGATACAAAAAATAGACATTAATTTAGTCTAGTGTAGAGTAAGAACCATTTCTCTTTTTCCCCCTTAATGAATTAAAACATAGCATCTAGATTAACAATAAAAACAACAATTTCTTAAGTATCTAGTACTTGTCAGCACTGTAGTAGGCACTCTGAATACATTCCCCCCCCATCCTTACAACAACTCTCTAAGACAGATTTTATCATCTTCATTTTACAGATTAGGAAACTGAGGCTTAGAGAGGTTAAAATAATTGTATAAAGTCATGTAGTCAGTGACCAAGACCACAATCTTATGTTATGCTACCGTTTGCGAAGTGTGCACGTGTCTATGCGTGTACGCACACTCCTAAAAAACAGAACACAAAATACTCGGCAATTATATTGCCAAATCTCACACCCCATTTGAAAGAGGGCAAAGAAAAGATATAATGGACAGGACAAATCAGGTGTCTAGCCCAAGGATAACATATCAGTGGGTATTTATTAAACACCTCCGTGTGGTCTACCGGAAGCAAGTACCCTAAAGGTGAATAACAATGTAACAGACATATTCTGAGATACAAATTAAAGTGTGAAATTTGTAAGACAATAACTTGAATGAAACCCAGAAGAAAACAAAAAAGTTTCAATGTAATAAATTATAACACTGAATATGGACGCTATCATTAGTAAAGGTCTTGGGGACGATCCTACGAGGCTTGGGAAGAGGGGTTCTAAGGAAAGAGCAACGGGCAGGATGCAGAGGGGAGCGCAGCCCGGCTGGGGGAGGTGCCGCTGGCAGGGCAGCGCCGGCTGTGCTACCCACCGGGCAGCTCGGGCCAGCCTGACCAACGGTCACCAACCGGAGTGCCACGGATGGTAATGGTCAGGCATTACAGACTCGATAAAAACCGACAGCGCCAAATTAGCTGGTAGAAAAAAAATTACTTCGGGAGAGGCACAGAGGACGGTGTAGAAGGTGACGCTGGAGGGAGAAGTAGCTCACTGAGGTGGAAGCAATGAGCCGTGTGGCGGTGGGACAGAAGCAAGAGGCGCGTGAAACAGCAACAGGCTCTGGAGACGGGAGCGCGGTGGAGGTCGGGGCGAGAGCAAAACGCGAAGCGCTCGGCTCGCGGGGAGTCCAAGGAGGTGGGCACGCGGTCCCCCCGCCAGCCCGGCGCCCTTACACTCGGGGTGCAGGCGGCTGCCCCGAACTCCCGGCGGTGGCCCTGGGCTAGCTAGCGGGGCCCCACCATCCGCTGGAACCGAAGCCCCAGGGAATGCGGGGGATCCCTGTGTCTAGGTGGCTCCCTTTCAGTGGGAACGTGAACGCCAAGCATTTTTATTTTTGTTTTTCGGCCCCGTTAAGCTGTTGGGGTGCTCATTTCTGGGGTTACCGTTCTGGCTTGAAGACGCGTCTCTGCTGAGGAAGCCCTAGGTTGACACCAATTAAAACCGAAATACTTCTGGTTGTAAGTTGAACAAGTTCCGGGGACCTAATGGGCAGCATGGTTATCAGTTCAAATCCCATCTACCCTCAAAACACACACTATCAAAATATGGAAGTTCCCGGGCGATTACAACACGCCTCCCGCCCCAGCCTCTTTTTGCCCGGAAAGGGAAGACGGAGGACCAACAGGGAGGGTCCTTTTCCTAATCTGACACCCAGATCGGGTCAAGCTTCTGTCACACGAAGAACTAAAAAAAATAGAAAAATAAAAAGCGAGCGCGCCGTGACGTCACGGCCCCAGGGGTCGCGCTGGAGCCCGCCGACAGCTGGGGTCGGGCCCCCCTGCCACTTGCCGTCGGTGTCACCGGGCCCCTGGGGACCCACGCGGCGACTGCAGGGCCGGCGCCCGAGACACGGGCTGCCGTCCAGCACCTCAGGCGTCACTGGGGCAGCCGCGAGGCTGCTCTTCAGGGTTAGCGACCGCCAG